AAATAGAATTGGGAAGAACAGAAAAGTTGAATAGCCTTATCTGTCTACTGCCAAACCATGATTAATCCTTTACTGTTTTTTATGCAACAAGTAACAGAAATTTAATCCATACTGCTCTCTTACCTTTATTCTACGCTCTCCGCCTAGAACCAACCCAAATGTCAACATCTGAAGTGCGTCATAAAGATTCTTTTGTTGTTAAGCATAGTTGGAATTTTTGAATTCATTTCATGTCACCTTCTCTGGCTCTCCTAACAGACGTATAACAGGGGTTTAGGTATTTCTAGGCAAACTGATTTATGAGACACTCAGAAGTTTTCAGGGATGACATGGAAAGGCTCTCTTTAGAACAAGTAATCTCCACCACATCCGGAAACTCAGTGGCATCTTTGTCAAGAAGAACCCCCCAAACTGGAGAAGATTTGAACTAGAATACGGGAAAGAAATTCAGAGGGAAGATTCAAAATGGTCACCCTTGCAAATAATTCAAGTATGAGAAAAGGCATTTCTGTAAATGTTTTGCAACATGGCAAGAAAGGATATACACCATTTTGTGTCATCATTTGGCGAGCAGGTCTCATCTCTTCCACCAACTCCTACAGGTTGGTGGTGTCTGCCTGAAATATTGGGTAAGAATGATTAAGAGGCTATGTCTTGTCTAAAGTCATGATTGATCAATGATGTCTTTTTTAAAATAAGCTTCCATGAAAATTCACTCACTCAGTCACTTACATACTCGACAAATAATTGCCAAGTGCCTAATATGTGGGAGCAATTATGCTAGGCCTGGAGATGAATGGTCAGCAGAAAAAGTCATGAAGCCACAGTCTCAGTCCTCGTAGAGCTCACAAACTAGTAGGGCAGATAATTACTATTCAAATAATCACAAAAACAAATGCAAAATTATACCTGTTACAGCGCAATTAAATTGGGTGTTTGACCCAACTGAGAAAGTCCCAGAAGGCTTCCCTGAAAATTGACATTAAACTGAGATTGAAAGGATGAGTGGGCGTTAACTAGGCAAGAAAGAAGGAACTGGGTTCCAGGCAGAGGGAATCATATGCACAAAGCAGAGAACACACTGGACTGAAAATGTCTTTATCCTGCTGGCAAGGGAAGCCGGAGAAGGTATTTTTCAGAAGTGAGGGCTAGAGGGTGATGAGTGTATCATAAGATTTATGTTCAGAAAAGGTCATGCTTATGCCCACTGAGGTTTGACACCCTCTGGCCTGACCTAGAGGCTGACTGCACTTCTCCAAGGCACAGCCATTGCCCCGCTCAGGGAAATGGCCTGGTGGTGGCCAAAACTGTCCCCCTGCCTGCCTTCTTACAGCAAGGAGAGTGCAGGATTTTGGGCTCCAATGGTATATTGCTGAGACTGCCAGAATGCCAGGAAGAGCATTTTGTCTCAGGGCCCTGTTCCTACTCGAAAATCTCATCAGCCTGACAACCAAATTCTGGCATTAGTTTCTCATGGCTCCAATGAAAGTGGCAATGTATTTAAAAATGTAAGCTAAGTACTGGGATTCCTTGGAGGCCTGAGCCAAGGGACCTGAAGAGTGGGCTCAGTGGGGCAGCCTTAAACAGGGTGCTCTGAGTGATACCCAAGGGAGTCCTCCCTGTTCTGAGGCTGCGTGGCTGGTGTACTCTGCTTCCTGCCTGCAGAGCATTTCTGCTCCAGGATATACCACTCTTAGAAGATCCTGTATAAGAGGCCAACACCGCCTACCTGAACCCCATCACCACCCTGACAGCTTGTTCACTCCATTCCAGCCACGCTGGCCTCCCTGCTATTCTAAAACATACTGGCATGCTCCTCTGCCTGAAGGGTTTTGCACGGGTTGTCCCCTCTGCCAGAGAATCCCTCCCCTAGATATCCACAGGGCTCACTCTCTCAGCCCCTTCAAGTCTTGGTGCAAATGTCTCCCACCCAATGAGGCCCATCCTGCCTACCTTATTTTACAGTATCACCAGCCCATTGTCCACCCTGGCTCTCCTCCTCTCCCTCACATTGGTTTACATTTTTCTTTTCCTACCATACATTTACTTATTCATTATGTTCATGGTTTATTGCTCTCCCCACCCCAGTTAAAAAGTAAACTCCATGAGGAAGGGGTCTTTACCCATTTTGGTCACTGATGTATTCCAAACATGCCAAGGAGTCTAATACAGAGAAGGTACTCAATGAACAACTGTTGAGTTGAATTAAAACACGGCACTTGGTCTCACCAAGCTACTACCTTTCTCATCCTTGTGCCCCTGGGCAGCTTGGGAGCCATGGGCTGATGCATTAAAACTGGGCCTCTCTAATGATGTGAGGTGTGGGGACTAGTCCGTGGCTCACAGGGTTGCTTTTGGGAGGTCATGTTTAGCCCAGCTAGAAGCAAAGCGTTGGCACTCCTACGGCACTGGGCCCAACCCTGCACTGCCAGCCACGGGTGAGTGGTCTAGGGAGGGCTGCATCATCTGCTCTCTCGGAGCCTTGGTTTGATCACCTCACAAATGAGGATGATGCTTTTTTCACTGGGGCAGGTAAATATCTGCGGGGATGAATCTCCAGCACCTGGCAGAGAGCCTGGCAGAGAGCCTGGCACATAGCAGGTATGCAATACATTGGCTTGTTGATTATGAGGAAAATATGAGATAATGTTTATAAACTCTGTACACATAAAGCACTTGGAGTAGAGCCTGGCATGTGGGAATCATGCATTCAGTCACACAGCAGAGATTTACTGAGCACCTACTATGTGCTCGGCAATGTGTAATATATGTATGGGGATTGTTGAATGAGCTACTCATGTTCGGTCACTGAGAGGGGTGTGGGCAGTGTCAGACCTTCTGCCTGAGATGAAACACACGTAAAAGGCAGTCTGAAGAGGGTGGCATCTCTCAGGAGCCAGCCTGCCTCAGTAGCTTTGCAGAACACCAGACAGATGAATACCCAGACCCGTGGCCTTCCCCTCCCATTGGCCTAGGTGCCCCCAACAGGCATGCCGGTGATGATAATTGAGGTCTGGGACTTGTCCTCCCAGAGATGTCCTCTCTTACTGATGTTTATGTGGGCTAAATGCACAAACCAAGCAAATTTAAGAAGCGCTATGGGCCTGTTCAGTGCAGGGTGGGAGCTGGGCTCTAGGGTTCCTGACATGTCTGCTCACAGCTCCCCAAGTGCTTGGGTTTTAGGGGAGGAAGGGCCAGGAAGCCTTAGGGGCCAATATCTATCTGCTCTTTCTCCTACAGTTCAACAGCAGGTTCTCAATAAGCAAGTAAAAAACACCAGTGATGAAATAAAAATCAAACTGTCCCTGAGTGTTGGCTGGTAGTCATAAAATCAATTAGTCGTAGTAGCAATAGCACCTCCATACATACAGTACCTTTTATGTGCCAGTCATACGTAAAGCACTTTCTATACATCACATCTCACAACAACCCTCTGAATTAGGTTATTAGTCCAATTTACAGATGAGAGAGCTGAGGTTTAGGGAGGTTTAGTATCTTGCCATGGTCACTCAGAGAGCAAGTGCTAGAAGCAAGACCCACCCTAAGCAGTCCAACTCTAGATGGCAACTGCAAAATCCATTTATGCTTGTGTGGCAAAGGGTCTCTTCAAGCATCATGGTGTGTCCAGCTGTTAAGTCTGAGCAAGGCACGCAATCTCTCTGGATAGCTGGTTCCTTCCCTATAAGAGCATCAGTCCTTCAGTTGTGTTGGGCGTTGATGAGTTTATACATGTAAAGCCCTTAGACCCAGGCCTGGCATACGGCGAGAACTCAAAAGTCTTAGTAATTGCTAATGTGATCAAATAGCCTAAGTCTAAGAGCTCTAGGCAGAACTCACTCTTTGTGAAAGGCTGGATAGTATTCTTAAATGGGTATTTTGGCATCTACTTCAGGTTTACAAAGATAAGGGGACCTCATACTTGTTGAAATACCCTTCTGCTTGTCACTCTGAATTTGTTTCTGAACCTGGTGGGTCAAGTGTGGATTCAGGTGGGCTCCCCAAGACCCAAGCTCTATTGCTTATAAGCTGTGTGTCTTAGGCTGGTTGTTCCACATTCTGGGTCTCAGGTCTGTCCCCTAGAAAAAGGAGGCAATCCTGGTCCCCACACCACAGGGCTGCTGTGAGGACTGTGGGACAAAATTCCCAGGGACACTGGATAAAATCCTGGCACAGGGCAAACACTCGATAAAAAGGGGGTGCTTTCATAAGCAAATGAGTCATTATTCTTAGCATCATTATCATGTGCAAGAAGGATGCATAAATTCATGGGCTTCTTCTTGCTCAGGGGTAGAGGGTGGGAAGGAGCCCAAACCTAAATCACGGAGGAGCCCATCCTCCTCACGTGCTGCCTCTTTTTCCACAGCAGCCCTTCAGACCCTGCCTTAGCCCAGGCAGGAGCCTAATTCTGTATGGCTGGGGTTTCCCAAATGTGCCCCATGATACCCAAAACCAAGCCTGTCGTGAATAATGAAGGCTTTGTGCAGTTTCCCAGGAGCAAATTGAAGGGCTACACTCAATCCTTCCTGGAATCCAGGAGTGCATTTTCATGATACCGAGAAAGAAAAAAAAACACAGTCTTAAAAAAATTCCTTATTGGGAAAAATACAGGGGTATGTGCGGAGCAAAATATTGGGTTGTCAGAAAAGTCATGACGTATTTTTCCTATGTTTTTCGTTGCAAAAATGCGTCATGACTTTTCCGACAACCCAATATCTAAGGGACAGAAAGAAAAATGTCATCTACTATGCTTTGCGGCGATGCCAAGTCATTTCAGAAGAGCTGGTCCTGTAGGGTGGCTAACATCTAGAACCCTTGGCCAATATATATTGAATGAAATTACATTACAAGTCCCGATATAATGCTATCAGTTATGGCCCCAGACTTTATGGCTGCCGAGTACTGGAGATCATCAAAAGAGGTGAAGGTCAAGATAGGATGTAGCTCTTATGCACCCCCACCCCCCATGGTGGGGGCAAATGTCTCCTTAGCAGCTGACTGACCTGAGACCTTTGGATCATGTATGCATCGTAGCTGGACCCGTGGTACTTGGCCGTAATATCTGGGCTGTAGCAAGCATCACAAGTGCATGGTATATTCGAGCTCAGGGGCTGTTTCCTAGGTCTATAAACCTGTGGGAGAAAGCTACAATGGTTAGGTGCAGGAGGGGAGGGCGCACGGCGCACAGGAAAGGAATTAGGAGAAAGCAAAGAAGGAGGCTTGTCTTGACTTTCTGTGGCCAAGTGGGTGAACAACCCAGTGTAGAAGATGCACAGCCCCAAACAAAGAGGTCAGATGGAAGCGGCCCCCGAGCCCCGGGGCCAGCGCTAGCAAGGCATGCCGCTCTGTGGAATGACCCCAATGTCTGGCAGTGACTGGGACCCTCCCTCTGCAGGAGAGGGCACCCAGGCATGGCAGTGGTCTCTCTCTTTCAGCAAGGCAGCTCCATGAGAAATGGACTCTGGTTCAGGGCCAAAGGGTGCCTTTTCCTTCCTGAGGAGGGAAAGGGTCGGCCCAATTGTGAAGAGAGGGGGCTAAGCCCTTTGGGCTTCCCTTCCACTCACCTTGTATATTGTACTCCGCCCTGATTACCCTAGAAGGCAGGATCCAGTACAGGGGCTGAAGTCAATGTGGACACACGCCATGTGGTAGGGTACCATGTGGCATTCAGAGAGTTTCAGAGCCACGTGTGGCCCTAGCTAAGATGCGGAAGGCACCTTGTGAGACCACAGACCATTGAGCCATAATACCTGCTGAGTGGGTTTCATAATGAAGCTAGAATCTCTGAGTGAATATCTTTAACCATTGCTTCCAAAAGCCCCCCAGATACATATGGAGCAGAAATAATGTCTGAAGATTTCAGGGATGATTTCGCAATATGCTTTAGGCGCAATTTTTTCCATTTGAGCCATTTCCAGAAAATCCTCCAGAAAGCAAAGAACTTTCTGCACAAATTGGGACTTTGTCCCTCCTTCCTTTTCCCTCAGAAGAAATACAGTGGCCTAGCAAGGAGGAAAAAACAGCACAACGGGGTAAACAGGTGGTAAAAAATATGTGACTAAATGATGCCTGGCGAGGTCTCCAAGCACAGCCTGGCAGTGCCAGGGGCTGGGAGATGTTCCTTGGCTGAAAGGTCTGGGAGAAAATAGTTGAAGAACCAAAGTTGGAAGTATGGAGAGAAAGAAATCTAAAGAACTGGATGAGGGGAGTTTATTTATAGGGCCCAGAGAGTGAGCAAGACAGAAGATAACGGATCTGACAGGAGAGAACGTGCCCGAATTTAATTAGTAGTTTCTATGATTTAGTCAGAAGTCATACAAAGTCCACTGGAAGGAAGAGAGCTGAGAGCTATTTCTGGGGAGATGATGCTAATACAAACGAAAGGAAAACAGTGCTGGTTGCAAACCACACAAGCCCAGGCACATGCACATAAACATAGAGAAGCAGTAAAATGGTGTTCCAGTGACAACTCAGGCCATATCACTCCTACCTGTTTTTAGCTGCTTGAGCCTGCAGGATGGACATGGGAAAATGAAGAGTAGCTAAACCCAAAGAAAGCACCCAAGGATCCAAACCCAGCAAAACACACCTCTCATGCAGGAGGCCCCACCTGCTGCTTTAACTGGTGCACTAGTCGATCTTTTTCCCGTTTGAGGGCCATGACTTCTTCCTGCGTCTTTTTCTTTTTGGAGGCAGACAATTCCAGCAAGGCAATGTTTGCATCTTTTTCACTGATAGCCGCAAGCAGTGCTTCTTGTCTGGTAAAATAAAGATTATTGTGATGATTTTTATAAAGTGAAAAAAAATTGGCATTTATAGTTGAAATGAGCCCCAGAGTATTGTCTCAAAGGAAAGGAATTATGGATAATGTTTAAGACAAACCACCTCCTTGATCCTTAGAATGGACAAAGTTGTTTGGGTCAGAATCCCTGAGACTCACACACTGCATCCTCTAAGAGAAGTGTCTTTCAATGGCTTCATAGATACAGCTACATAAGAGACATGAAGGGAGTCATGTCACTTCTAAAACACTTTCATTCATCTACCCATTATCCATCCAATCATTCATCCATTTGCCTGTCCGTCCATCCATCCATCCATCCATCCATCCATCCATCCATCCATCCAACCATCCATCCGCCAGGTAAGGTTCTATGTACTCCAAGACAGCCCAACAAAATTGGGCAGCAACTTCAATATCAATATTATATTTTCTCCTGCAAGATTTCCTTTTGAAGGCAGGCAGAGATATTTACTAGAATTCCCGTTCCATTTTCGGTGCAATTAGTGATGTGTGCCTGTCATTCCACCAAAAACCGTTCCTTCCTCGTTATTCCTTATCTCAGTAACTACAGCACCAATCACTAAGTAGTCCAAGCCCCAAACTTAGAAGTCATCCTTGATTCCTTTCCTTCCTTCTCCACCCAGAGCCAATCCATCAACAACTCCAGGAGGTTTTACTCCAAAATACATCTTTTATGTAAACTTACCTACTGCTAGGAAATGTCTCCCAAACATCAGCATCTATCACACAGCTCAGTCACTAGTCTCCTGGTACAGACACCAAAGTGATCTTTAAAAACATTATAAATCCGAGTTCCATCATCCTGTTGCATGAAAAACCCATTGCATCACTCATTAGGCTTCGAATCCAGACCCTGTACTGATGCCTGCAACTTGTTACACCAACTGGCTATGACCACCTCTCTGAGGTCATCTTGTTCCATTTTTCCCACCTCAATCATTAGGTTCCAGCACATTTTGTTCCTGAACTCTTTTCTACTCCTTGAAAATGTTGCACTTTTTCTCACCTCAGAAGCGTTGCCTTTGTCATTCTCTTTGACTAGAATGCCTTCGCTTCATGCATCTCCTTATCCTTCAGGTCTCCGCTCAAACGTTTCCTCAGAAAAGCCATCTCCAGCTGCTCTGTCCCCCTAGCAGCATCTCTCCACCTGGTACCTCGTACCCAAGCTGCTGGCCTGGCACACTACACTGTGTTTTGTTTGTTTGTTGGTTTGGTTTGGTTTGGTTTGGCTTTCCATAGAACTCTCTACTATTTGAAAGGATATTAGGTATTTATTATTTTTCTAGACTTGCCACTCCATGAAACAGGAACCTTATTTGTCATGAGCACCACCAAATCTCCAGCTTCTAGAAGAGCACTGAACACATAGAAGGTGGAAAAAACATTTGCTCAAGCAATATAGAAGTTCATTTTATACTTTTCAAAAAATTGAAGATAGCACTGTATAACTTTTTCTCTCACTTTTTAAAAAAATGACAATGCTTTGACTCCTGATTACTCTCTGATCATTGCTTACTCAGAAACGTATTAAAAGCCGTCTCCCCCCATTTTACAGTTCAATTTTCTGGCAACATCTGTTGCAAATTTTAACCTGGAGTTTCTGGGACCCTTATGAACTACGAAATGGCTCTCCTTTTCCACTGAGTCTTCTTTTCCACTGAGGGAAGTCTCATCCCAACCATTTGTGTCACTTCAGCAACATTCTAGATCATTTAGAAGACCCTACAGTTCCAGGAAAGCTTCAGTGTTAGGCACTTTTGTTGCACACAAGTCCCAGGACTAACACCTGGTCACGATTCTGTTTTGCCTTTCTTCAATCCCCATCACCAGACCAGACCCTCTCCAGACATTTAGACAATATGGCCATTATTTGGATCTCAGGTTTTCCCCCTTTTCACTGCAGAGATTTGTATGGACTTCTCTGGGCTCTGCTAATGCCAGGCAGTAGAAGCTTCTGACTGAGAAGCTCAGCCGGATGTGTAAGCAGCAGAAATGTCAGGAAATATCTCCACTTTCCAGAAGAAAACCAGTGCAGGCTGGATTACCAACAGCAGCATTAATATCCAGCGTCACAGGGCCTGTCTCTTTCTGGATAACATCTTGAGACAATAGACATGCTTGCTGTTTACAGCCGGTGCATATTTATACATAAAGCCAAGCCAAGGAGGCTGCACAGATTTCAAGTCGGGGAAAACCCAACTGCTGTCTTTCTCCTCCAACTTAGTGACAACATACACAAGATGACTGCAATGCTTTACCCCACTATGGCCCAAATTTAAATGTCCAGGTGAAATGTTTTAATGGCAGTAATCTAAAAGACCATTACTAGGAAAGCTGGGAATTGATAGTAAATTATGCTACGTCCCTATGATTCACTCTTTATAGCTACATGCAGCCATGTAAAATGCTGATGAAAAATAATAATATATGAAAACAGTCATGTTTGGTGAGAGACAATTCTCCATGAGTCTCGTAGTTTTGCACATTATATGAGCAAAGGCACTACTGTATTTTGTCATGTAGAATGTGCACCCATGTTTTTGGCCCAAACTTTTTGGGAAAAAAACTATTTTGTATTAAATTTTAATTCAAATTTTTATTTGTTTACATTTAAGCACTTGTTTTTTGTATTATAAATTTATTTCAGCATTTTTTTAACATATTATGGTACAAGAAATTTTATGTAACAAATTTACAATACGTACGCATTATAGAAGGCCAAGAACTCTTCGTCGTTGCAAGTTTGTCTTAAGTTCAACAAAACCGATTATCGTATTCTAGGGTGTTACTTTGCATACGGATATTGTTATTGATTTCTAGAGTTACACTTATAACTCACAGCATAAATAAAAGAATTAAAAACATTTATATAGATACGGAAATAGTACTACCCATGTATAATGCACATCCTTATTTTTCCCTCACAAATCTGGGCAAAAAGTGTGCATTATACATACAAAATATGGTATTTTCTTTTCTCACAGTTTTTCCAAGGATGTTTGTATAGTAAATAGCTTTGGAAGATAGAAGTAAGTGTCTCCCTTAGAGTCAAAGAATAGACATGCTTACTGCTCTGTATAAGTGTCTCCTTACAGAGCAAAGGGCAGGCACTGCCCATTATAAAAGATTTGGGTTCCCTAAGCTCGGGGTTGATCTCCGTTAATGTAACCCACTGCATGTATAGCTATTCACCTGGCCCATCTGCCTTTCATTCATGGGACTTGGGGAAAGGAAAATTGACATAAATATGTTACTGCTGCAGTCTGTACCTTGAGCAATAAAGTCCTTTGTCTCTGACCCAAAAGTCTCTAGTCATCTGCCTGAATCCCTGAACCTGAGGCAGACTAACCTGTTAGCATGCCAACAGGGAAAATCTCAGACCCCTCACAGTTCTTGACATGCAAAAGCATGTACAATAAGATCCCAAAACATAAAATTATATTCCTAGAAAAAACAAAAACAGGAAGGAAATACACCAAAGTGCTAACAGTCATCATCTCATGGTGGTGGAATGGATAGGCTAGTTTGTTTGTTTGTTTATTTATTTATTTTCTGCTTATACCTTTCTGCATTATTGTCCCTTCCCACAAAGCATCATAAGACTAAACACTACAAAATTGTAAATAAAGCTTTTCACCAAATAAACTGCAGTTACATGCTTCAAATACTTGCCATATGTGAAATTTGCTCATTTTCCCATCAAGGTATCTATGTTCTCTGTCCCTCTCGATCTTTATGCACAAGCAAGTGCACACACACATACTTTCACATACACACACATTGGGTACAGTCTACATCTCTCACTTGGATAGTTGGGGTAACCTCCTAGCTAGGTTCCCTATCTCCCATCACCCTTTTAATCACATTTCCTCTTTCAGATCAAAATTCAGAATTATATAGCTTTAATAACTGTTAAAAGTCATCATTAACCTAAGAAAATGACCCTTCTAAACATCTTTTCCCCTATAAATCTATAATTTTTGTCTTTTCAAAATTTAACATGTATTTTTCATGTTATACCATTAAAATGCCAATAAATTAATTTCTCATTCTCAGTTTTCTGTTGATCGAGAAAAACATAACATACATCAATTCCTAATTCTCTATAGATGTTATCACAAAATTCAGCCCCAAATCTAATTTTCTTAATTATTAAACCTTAAAACACATTTTAAATCATTTTTATAGAAAAGTACATTTCAAACCACGCATCAAAATTAACATATATATATATTTTTTTTAATTAAAAAATTTTTATTTTTCAATTACAATTGACATACAATATTATATTCGTTTCAGGTGTATAAAACGACATACTGCTCAGAAATTTATATACTTTTCAAAGTGATGACCCCAATAAGTCTAGTACCTACCTGACACCATACATACTTATTACAGTATTATTTGACTATATCCCTATGCTGCACTTTACATCCCTGAGATGACTTCTTCTTTAATTTGATATCATAAATGTCCATGAAGATCTACCATTTGTTTTTACTTTGGTTCTATACAAAATTTATATTAATACAAAATAATTCATTTTGTTCTTCATAACCTTTTCCTCATTGTATTTTTTGTTTTATTTTGATAGAACTCTGAATAAAATTAGTGTAACAAGGGTTATATATTTTTTGAAACCTTCATCTAAATGTTGACCATAATTAATAATAATTTCCCCTAAATGCCTTGATTTAAATCTACAGTCAATAATTCCAGTCTATTTAAATCTGATAGTAATTGGCAGAATATAACAAAAGTATATAAAACTAGAAAAATATGACCATTTCATACTTTAGGATACTTGGAAAGTATCCTATATACGTTAAGGCTATATCTGGCTATTAGCTATTTGTATGGGGACGCCAAGCAAGGCAAACTCTTAATTCTAGGCTGACAGAGCTGTTACATTTATTTGTTTTAAGCAATACGTTTTATAAAATAAATTTTAAA